GGTGCATTTTGTCGTTCTCTGCTGTTCACACGGACAAACTTATTAAACATTGTCACTAAATGCAACAGTATCACGTTGACTCTGGGGGATTTTGGTAGCAAAACTCTTCCATCTCAGAGTTCGATCATGGTTATAGATCTATAGTGAAAGGAAGAAATGCTTAATATTAAAATTAAGTTATTTCTAGACTATTGAGAAATAAAGACTTTAACATCAATATTCAATAGCGTGAGTTATTTGTATCCACTCAATCTCAACCAATGGACTTGGGGGTATCTATGCCCCCGTTAAGTAAGTTTCGGGGGTATCTATGGTTTTGTCCTGTCCGTCCGTCTGTAACCTTTGCCCATAACTTTTGGGTCGGTGGGGCTATGGCTTTCATATTTCACATGTGTATTCCTTGTAACAAGACCTTTCTTTGGGTACCGGCAAATTTGTCCTCTTGATCTTGGAGTTTGGCCTTCTTTTACAAAATATACAACACTTTTACTTTTGTCATAACTTTTAAACGGTTGGTTCTAAGACATCTTATATGTATTCTTCTTCTGTGTGATAAAACATTAATTTAGATTCCAACAACTTTGACCCTTTGTCCTTGATAGATTGACCTACTTTTAAAAAACACTTGAACCTTGGCCATAACTCTTTAACAGTAAGGGCTAGGGCTTTCATACTTCACAGTGACAAGACCTTTCCTTTACCAACAACTTTGACCCTCTGACCTTGACCTTCGAGTTTGACCCATGTTTAAATAAACTTTAACCTTGGCAATAATTTTTACACGGTTGAAGCTAGGACTTCAAATATCTAATCCTTGTGACAAGACCTTTCTTAAGAAATTAACAACTTTGACCTTTGACATTTACCTAGGAGTTTGGTCTACTTTTAAAAAACTTTAACCTTTTTTGGTCATAACTTTTGAACAGGTGTTGCTAGGGCTTTCATATTTCAGAATTGAATTGTTTTGTGAGAAGACCTTACTTTGGGTACCAACATATTTGATTTGCATTTGAGAAAGTTTAACTAACCTTCACTTTGCTGCCTTGAGACCACTTTTATTTTTGATATGCTGAAAATGTTGCCAATGTGTAGATTGTTTGCTAATGACAGTTCGTTTCAACAATCTTCAAATATACAATATAAGAAATACTGCATTTCAAAGTAAAAGTTGCGAGTTTTGTAACGAGGCTTTTAAAACTGATGCCCCTTATCACGACAGGTGCTTTGGCTCGATAAAGAACCCTCACTGCTCAATGGTCCAAAGTGTTGAGTTAAGGTAAAAATTTCAAGCCTTGATATATGGTGACATCTCTGTAGTGATTTTTTTCGACTGAGGCGTAAATCAGCATTAATCAAATTAGCAAATATATTTTAGGTTCAAAGTGCAAATTTAAAAAAAGACAAATACATTGGACAGTTATTTTGAACTGATTCCTTTTTTTTCGGGAAATTGTTCACCCGTAGGTCAATTCTTTTCAAAATCCAAATACATCTTATTGGGGTTATTATCAATATCATCAGAAATAGAGATATCTTTTGAATTATTTTTTTCTAAGGTGGAGTCAAAATAATTCCGAAATAGTAACTTTTAATATTTAAAAAAAAATGCCCTTAAGCGATACCCTATTTTATTGACGGGATACTTCTCCTGAACAATCTGCTTTCTTCGATAGCATGACTCTTCTTATCCAAATTATAAGGGTCCATGTTTCCAGGGGTGTTCAGTATTAATTTTAAGATTCAAAAATTCGGAAAATCCGTGGCCAGCATCCTCGCAATGCCAGGGGTCCTAAGTTGTGAGGATCTAGTGGAACCATCTTTCGCTAAATCCACTAGATCTAAAGATTTGGGTAATAAGGATATTAATTATATATGTGCCTATTTTACCACCTTAATTTTGTATAATTATGTTAAGTTCAACTTCAGTCCGTGATCAATTGCATTACATTATACTGCTATATACCCATATTTTTTGGAGACCCCTTTTTGAAAATGTTGTGAAGGGTCTGTATATGATTTGGCTGATTAGGGCTACCATATATGTTGCATTATCACTGTGTAGTCCTGATTAAAGTCTAGATATTATATAAGGTATAATGAATCTGGAAAAATGACGAAAACGAAAGTAAAATTTATATATTTAATAAACACAATTTTTATACCATGTAGGTAATATTATTTAATGGAATAACTTTTAGATTTTTTTCTTTCAAGCTTTTATATTGAATTCTCTCAATTATCAATAACACCAAAGACAAAGTTATAGTCGTTTCCAGTTTCTCTCTTAGTCACTATCTTTGCTTTTATACTAAAAAATGTTTTCACCCAGTTTTACAATGCAGTGATGATCTTTGTTGTTACGGACGAATGTCCAGGTATACTTACATAACGCTAATTCGTACTTTTGCACATCTGTACCTGCAGTTTTCTTGTGGCTTTCCAAAACGATATTTACTTTCGTTTTGGTGGAGTATAGATCTATACATGTTTATACAAGCCCTTAGATACTTACATATTTAACATTCTTTTTATATCAGTCTCGTAAAACGCGGGGAAAGGAAGAAGACAAGGACTCCCCTCCACTTTTTCTGAGAATTATCATTTTCAGTGACGTATCATTGTTTTTGAAGGGGGGATTCCACTTATCTGAAAAAAAAACTTGACTAGCAAAATTGAAAAAAATTATTTAAAGTAAACTTGTTCATACTTACTTTTCCTATTTCGTGTGTTTGTTTGAGAGTATGTGTGGTGGGGGGGGGGGAGCAAATTCTTTCAGTACCATTTTTTTTTAATAGCATGCATTACCCTTATAAAACTTATATGACTATACTGAAACAAAAATGGTGCAAACGAACCTTCAATGAACATTTTCTATGGTATTATATCAGGAAGAAAGAGGGGACCAGGTTCACCAGGCTCCTTGATGCTACTTGCCTTTTTTAAATTTGAAAATGTGCACTTAGATACTGCTCAATTAACCCCTTTCCCCTTCGCACAACTTATATCTTTCTGTTAAATGGACATATTCAACAAGCATTAGAGAGGATTACGATTGTGTCCCCTCTAAAATATCCGATTACCTAGAAGTCCTTCATTTTTACAGATTTTTGAAAATTCTCGTAGGTTGCCCCCACCCCGAAATTGCTTCCTAGGGTACATTCAGTCAAGATTCTAGTCGGTAAAAGAGCTTTATAGCTCATGCTCTTTGTTATGTGTATATATATAGTCGGACTATAAATAAAATTTACTACTACATGTCTGATCTATTTGCGAGCACGTTTGAATTTCTGGAAATTCTAATAAGCATTATATTTTTTAAATTTCTTATCTTTATCTACTTACTTTTTAAAAAAAATTATCTTTATAATCAATAAGAAAATTCATAAACATTCATTTTAGAGTTTAAATTTATGATAATGATACATGTAGCCCCTCGGAGCGGTAAGAACTGTTGATCCTCCCACCTCATTATTTTGCCGATAATCTTGAAGCAGCCCCCTCAATAAAAATGTCTGATGACCCCCCCCCCCTTTCTTTTGCTTGTCAAGGAATTTTCGTAATTGATAGTGTTCCCAACTGAAAATATATGGACATATAGCTGCAAACCCCACCCTACCCCTCCCCCCCTGAAATTGCTTCTTACGGGCCTACAGCCTACTACAATAAAGTCGGAACCGGGGGGCTAGGGGATCCCCCCTTTTTTGCAAAGATAGACAATAGTATATGCATTGAACATTGTGGCGTAGGTTTAACCCCCCCCCCCCAATAGTTAATGTTACTGATAAAAAAAAAAAAAGCTTGAGAAAGTGTCAAATAGGGATTTTCCTTATATAAAATAATAAGTCTAAAGAATTTCTTGAATTAAACAACTGAAAAACATGTACAAAAAAGTAAAATTCATTTTATTAATTGGTTGGGTTTTGAAATAACAAAAAATTCTGACGACTAATCTATCCTATTCTCGCCTCATTTCTCCAGGACATCTTCTGAGGAAATGATATTTTATAAATAAATTCATGAAATTTTCCTGTCAGAGTTCGTGTTCTTATCTGTCAGTGAAGATCAAGGTTCCTGAAAAATATTACTATATATGCATATAATTTCGCGAAATAACGCGAATGTTACGCGTTTATTCGCGTTATAACGCGAAAAATTTATTTTTTTAACCTACGAAAATGAGCCCAATGGGCTTTCGTAGGTTTTTTTTGTAGGCCTTAATTTTTTGTTCTCTTACACTTGGCATGATTAGCCCCCCCCCCCCCTTTCAGTTTAATTGCTTCCGACGCCAATGATCCTGACTTATATTTGCTTATAATTTTTTTCAAATGATCATACTGATATTCTTAATCTGTTCATGGTTCTATTGGGAAAATATATAAACACAGTACGGATAAATCAAGTTCATACGCTTATTATTTGATGACACTTGACAGGGATGTTGATTATATAAATAACATCATGAACATACGTCCCTGATTTTAAGCACGAATAACAGTGAATAAAGAGGATGGATATTCATTGGATCGGTTGATTGTTAAACACTCTTCCAGTCATGCATTTTATTTATTAGAAGTTGGACTTTATAAGCATTATATATCACCGTCCCATCCGAGAAGGGGGGGGGGCTTTGAAAAAATTCTGGATTCACGCAGTCAACCTCGATATTTGCTCTGCATCCGGATTTGCATTGTTTATACAGACTTTTAAGAGCTTGAGCAGTCTATTGAATACTAATGAATACTGTTCGTTACCTCCATATGTTTCATTAGTGTAGTTTCTTGTGGTCTTTTTGTTTTCCTTCTCTGAACCCCCTTTATGGAGCCTCAGTAAAAATTGGGGCACCTGCTTAATTGTGACGTATTTGGTCACGTGATAGGGTGGGCCAGTGTAAATTGATGGGCGCCATTTTGACGGTGAGTGACAGTGTCTTTATAGGAGGTAGGCTGTCAATTAACTGCCAGATTGCTTGTCAAACGTTACAATGTTTACATTGATTTGCTTCTAATAACTGCTTATAGGGATAAAGGGGTGATAGATCAAAGCTAGTTATCAGTATAAAAGTCGATAAAATTAAAAGAATGAGACATTTTTTGTGTAAAGCTTACGATTCTTTGCATATTGACCTATTTTCGACAAAATTTACATTCTGGCGTTTGGCACAGCCCCAAATTGTCGTTCTTGTGTTCAGTTTGTCTCTTCTTCATCATAAATCAAATATGATCGGACAGTTTGTGACCTGCACAAGTTTGATCCATTTACAAATAGATTTGAGTGAATAAGTCGAAAAAGGCTATGTAAAAAGTATGTTAGTCTCCATATTGAATGCATGTCATTAAAAAATAACAGACACTTACGCATGTTGTTCATTTGAATCATTTTCATATATATAGGCTATATAATACTATTGTCAACAAGTTAGCATATTTATGTGATGTTGGTATGACGTTGTTTATATATTTTCCATTTTCTATAAAGTAGTTTTACCAAAGCATATATAAAAAAACTACTATATATACTTTTTTCAGAAGTCTTAATACAGATGTTTTCATTAATGAATCGGAGGCCTCTCATTCTGTGAAAAATGTCCATGGTCCAGGGGCTTCCGCCCACCTACACAGAATCCAAGTTGCTAAGTAAGGGGGGAAATGCAAGCTCATCAGATGTTCACAGGTAATTATTGAAGAAAATAATTTAATAATTTAAGTTAATACACAACTTGACTGTCGTGAATAACTTCAGTAGTAATTAATATTTTATTTCTTGAAAAGGAAATAAAGGGTTAAAATATCAAAATAAAAAAAAATCTGAAAAAAGATTTTACCTGGAATTTATTATTGAGGAAATACGGTATCACCAATTAAATTTGATATTAGGGTTAAAAATTTATCATTATAGGGTTAGCATAAAATATTGATTATGTATTTTAAAAATGCATTTTGGGAGGGGGATTAATTTGTAAAATATCTCGTATTGATAGTAAATTGTTAACTCAGCATCTTTCATTCAAATTTTAGTTCAGTGGAATCAATGGGAACTATAAACATACAAGAAATTAACGATGCCCAGTATGAAGAGGAAAAGAAAAAGATCTATGGGTTTGTATAAAAATATGAAGCGAAATGTTACAACTTTGCAAAGGGCATTAACTTTGTATTTAGAAAAAAGAGGGGAAAAAGCAATTTTGTTAGTTGTTTTTTTTTTAATGAAAAAAAAATCAGAATTGAAGTTAATCCATCCAAAAGAAGAAATGTGCTTACTCTTCCATGGCACCAGACTCGCTTATTATTTTTCTTTTTAGATAGGAGCAAGCAGAAATTGATTAAAATGATTTTGAAAATAGCATGCCCAAAAAAGTAAGCATGTACAAGCACGGATTATTTGATTCAAATGACTTTTGTATTGCTTTTCAGACACCCTCTCTTTCCACTGATGGAACTCCTGTTTGTGAAATGTGAACAGGCTTCCCAGACTCCAGACTGCCCAAGCTCGGATAGCTTTGATGTGGACATTCAAACATTTGTGCAGAGGCAGGAAAAAGAAAGAAAAGCTTTCTTTAGTGATGATTCAGAATTGGACAATTTGGTTGGTAGATAAAAATTTCATGACCGTAAATTTAAAAAAGTAAATTATATTCTGGAACAAGTTCAACAAGCCATGATATAATTCTGTGGAGTAATGATATAATGCAGAAATGCATGATCTTTCTCTCATGATGTATCATTTTGCAAGAGTTATTCCCCTTCTCTTACTGTTCAAAAAAACTGCTTGAATGCATTGCTTAACTCTTGTTTTTCAGATGGTGAAATCTATACAAGTCTTAAGGATTCATTTATTAGAACTTGAAAAAGTGAATGAGTTGTGTAAGGATTTCTGTAACAGATACATAAACTGTCTAAAAGGCAAACTACAGAGTGAACAGTTACTACGTGTAGACACAGACTTTGATGACTTCAGTGAACATGGCTGCTCCCCGCCCCTAAGCGGAGGTCAGGGGTCAGGGACAGCAGGTGTGGTGACCAGTACTGGAATGGTGATTCAGCAGCCATCAGCTTCAATGGCCACCTTAAATCAGGTTTATCAGATGGTGCAAACCCCTCAAGGACTGGTGGCTCAGCCTATTCAGGTATTGCAATCTGTTCACATTTTTAACTAACTATGTCTCATTAATTAAATGTTTAAAAGGAGTCAGTTTTATGGTTTTATTTCTGTGTTTTATTGTTGATTTTTTTTTTTTTTTTTTTGGTGAGAAAGGGGAGGGCTATATAATTTATAAATCTGAATAATTGACAATTTATTCTAATTTATAAATTTGAATAATTGAGAAATCAATTCATTTTCTGTTACTTATCAGAAAAGTGGGTTAATGTAAAACTTTCAATAAATTTTAGATACAAAGCACACCATTACAGGCTCCTATAGTGTCAAGTCCAGTTATCCAAGGAAATCCCTCGCTGAGTCAACTAGGACTAGTCAACAACCCTGCTGCTCAATCTGCCTTGGGTCAGTAGAAAGCTCTCCTATCAACAGATAGCTTCTGAATAATTTTAGTGATAAAGAGTTCATGTAATCTTAATGGTAGTTTTTTGTAACTTTTTAAAAATATATTTTGTTTAGATTCTGATGACGACGATCCGTTAGGAAAGAAGAAGAGCAAAAGAGGAGTACTGCCTAAACAAGCCACTCAGGTCATGAAGTCATGGCTTTTTCAACACATTGTGGTAAGTTGTAATTTCTTTTTATTTAGTATTGATTATATTGAAAACTAGCTGAAAGAATGGTTTAGAGAAAAAGAAATCCTACCTGCATGTATTTTGTAGACATATTTTATATATATTCATGTAGACAGTGGCATTACCTATAAAATTAGATATGCTCTATAGTAGAATTAGATATGCTTGGATGAAGATTCTATTGATTTTATATCAGATTTCAGGAATTTTTTAAGGGAAAGTTTTGAAAATCATTTTAATGGCATTTAAATACACAACTTCTTAATATACTGTTTTGCAGCACCCATATCCTACAGAAGATGAAAAGCGACAAATTGCAAGTCAGACGAATCTAACATTATTACAAGTCAATAATTGGTAAGAATTCTTTTTGATTGATACTCGATACTGTAAACCAACTTTTATTCGTGTGCAAGTGCAAGAAATATTCGCGAGTTCTGCGACCTACTTTTGATCACAAATATTGCACGAACCAATAATGTAGATAAGTATTTGTATGAAAATTTGTTGTCACGGATTGATTTCAAACTGACGAATTGCGAATAAAAGATGCCGCGAATAATAGTTGGTTTACAGTATACTTTCTTTTGTATGAAAATTCATTAAGGGCTTTAACATTTGACATGAGAAATTTTCACAAAAATACATGTAAATTACTTCTAGTAATACTCTTTTACTTGCATCTTGTTTAACCATGGGATAACTGTATTGATTGAAAATTTGTAGGTTTATAAATGCCAGAAGAAGAATTTTACAGCCCATGTTAGATGCCAGTAATCCAGAACCTACAAAAAAGGCCAAGTCTAAACCCCAGAACCGCCCCTTACAGAGGTTCTGGCCGGAGAGTATAGCCAACATCCAGCCTCAGTTACCGGCGGGGATACAGGCGGCTGTCAAGTCCGAGGCAGTTACCTCTGTCACTGACTCGATACAAACACAGCCAATCGTCATACCTATTGTTACTGGTAAGTGTTAAGATCTCTCCTGGTTGTTCTTATAGTATCATTTAAATCTTGATCACATATACTTGTGTATATACATGTATAAAAATACCTGCATATATTACATATTTAATTGTAAAATGAGAAGAATGCGATTCGATTGTTATTGAAATTTTGTTTTGTAGCAGAATTTTAGCAAAGGATTTTAAGATGTTTGATTGGTGCAGAAGTCAGATATAAATAATCTGATAGGATATTCATTTGTAAACTTGTTTTATCTTTGTAGTCCCGACCCATGGTGAACAAGATGATGGTCAAGATGGAAAGGAGGACCAGGAAAGTATTACAGTGACCATCAACAGGGAGGCGACAGATTCCTCGTCCAGCGAGACTGACCCACACTGACAAGACGTGGGAAGAGCTCACATGCTGCCAAAGGACAAGAGTTTGGTCCAACAGCTATGTACTGGGTAGAAATACATGGGTTAAATAAGCTGCTGACAAGTAAACACAAAGAGAAATGCTACTGTAAAAACAGGGGTTTAATTTTGATTTCAAATTGTTGTAAATTTTTTTTTTAAAAATTGATACTCTGTGACAAGTGAAAATGAAAAAAAGAATGAAAAGCTGTATCTTCCACAACTTTGTTTTAAATTTATGGCTTTAGAATCTGTCCATTGTTTGAATGCAGGTGGAAACATACATTACAATACATGGTGTTTTCAAGTCTGTGCCAAAGTCATTGTCCTATTTTAAAGAATGTGTCCTCGGAGTTGTTATTCTGCATAGCAGAACGGATTCTTGTTCATGTATTTCACATATTCAACTTCAGAGTTGTGTCAGTCTTTTGTTGCTATCATTTTGCTTTAGTTTAAGAATGAAAAATGGTAGATCTGTTGTAAAAATGTATGAAAACAGTACAATAGTCAAGGAAACAGGAAGTATTCATGTTTGTTTCTGTTAATAAAAATAAAAAACAACTTGTTAAAAGTTCATCAGTAGTCTTTTTGAATTATGTTCTACTTGAAATGGCTTTAGAGAAAGAAAATGAGAAAGATAGAGAAAATTGTTACATGTGTGTACATGTATTTAAATCCCCTTTAAATAAGGAAGGTCCAAATGAGAATGTGGAAAATGTAAAAGCATTGTCAAAATATAAAGGTCTGTAATTAATCTTGCTTTCAGTTTAAGAATTAAGCCTTTTATGTTCACAGTTGTTGGTTGTTGTTTTTTTTTTTACGCTTTAACACAGAATTCGATATCTTTTGTTTCTTATTTTATTTTAAATGACTCGTTTATGAAATGCAAATATTAAAAATTCAGGTTGTGTTATGTTAAGGATGTTGAAATGTAAAGATAATTTTCATATATATATTATGTGAATGTCTTACTGTTTGTTACTGATTGCATGGATCTGATACAAATTTTTACATTATGATTGTCAGATTTAGAACCAATGGGTCTGAATCCAAAGCAATGTTTTAAATTTTTAGCTCACCTCAACGAAGTTGGGGGAGCTTATGTAATACCCTCGGCGTCGGCGTCGGTGTCGGCGTTGGCGTCCCAGGTTAAGTTTTTTGGAGCAGTTTTCTTTTTAACTACTTCTATGTCCTATATGGATTAGGCATGCATGGAGGATGGTTCTAGTGTGTTTCATTGCACCATTCAAAGTTTCAGATGCTGCAATTTCAGCAAAGGAATGACCAGGTTAATGTTTTTGGAGCAGGTTAACATTTTTGGTGCAGTTTTTGGTGTAGGTTTCATTTCCAAGTAACTATAAGCCCTATATTGACCAAACTTGCATGGATGATACATCTAAGGATGCATACTATCGGGCTTGCTTCGGATGCTGAATCTGACCTATATTTTCCGGTTGAGTGAACAGGTTAAAGTTTTTGGTGCAGGTTTCATTTCCAAGTAACTATAAGACCTATGTTGACCAAACTTGCATGGATGATACATCTAAGGATGCATACTATTGGGCTTGCTTCGGATGCTGAATCTGACCTACTTTTCTGGTTGAGTGAACAGGTTAAAGTTTTTGGTGCAGGTTTCATTTCCAAGTAACTATAAGACCTATGTTGACCAAACTTGAATGGATGATACATCTAAGGATGCATACTATCGGGCTTGCTTCGGATGCTGAATCTGACCTACTTTTCCGGTTGAGTGAACAGGTTAAAGTTTTTGGTGTAGGTTTCATTTCCAAGTAACTATAAGACCTATGTTGACCAAACTTGCATGGATGATACATCTAAGGATGCATACTATCGGGCTTGCTTCGGATGCTGAATCTGACCTACATTTTCCGGTTGAGTGAACAGGTTAAAGTTTTTGGTGCATGTTTCATTTCCAAGTAACTATAAGCCCTATATTGACCAAACTTGCATGGATGATACATCTAAGGATGCATACTATCGGGCTTGCTTCGGATGCTGAATCTGACCTACATTTTCCGGTTGAGTGAATAGGTTAAAGTTAATGCATGATTCATTTCTAAGTATCTATGATTCTTTAATGACCAAACTTGCATGGATGATACATATAAGGATGCATACTACTGGGCTTGCTTCAGATGCTGAATCTGACCTACTTTTTGTGGATGAGTAAAAATGTTAGTTTTTGATGCATGTTTCATTTCCAATTAACTATGAGCCCTATAATGAGTAAACTTGCATGGACTATAAATCTTAGGATGCAAACTAATGGACTTGCTTCGGATGCTGAATTCGACATGCATTTTTCAGATAATAGACCAGGTAAAAGTTATGGGTGCAAGTCTAATACCAAAAAACTATAAGGCTTACATAACATTGTATAAACCAAACTTGCACAAACGTTGCATCAAGAGATGAAAACTCTCAAATTTGCTTCAGATTCTGGATTTTGATTACATTTTCATGAAGAAGAACTAGTTTAAATTTTTTATGTAGGTCTGTTCAAAGTATCAGATCAAAATTGCTTAAATATTTTCATTTTTGGAATGTACACTTTTTGTTGGTTAATTGTGTGACTTTGCCTTACTTAAAGACAACATTTGTTGAGGTGAGCTCTGTAATCTCTGATTACCTATGTTTATACCTGTTATCAGCACATCATTGAAAGAGAAAAGTGTTTAAGTTGTACCATTTGGTCAATGTATCATTATTGTCAAACACTAGCAATAGCATTCATCATTGTGTTATAGCATAGCATGAAAATGAGATAATTCATTTCCTGTAGAGACTAGTGTTGGAAGAAAATATTTAGATTTGTAAATACTGATTTCAGTAGGTGGATGGGTTCCTTTGAACTCCCCCAAGCTTTGATTGTGCGATCTCTGGTGCTTAGCTTTGATACACCGTATATTTTTTTCCATTTTGTACTTTTTATTAAGTACATTGTTTTGTTAAAGAAGAAAGAAGGATAATAAAGAAAACAGGAGAAAAAAGAAACTTGTCTTTTAATTCAAATATATTCAGGGAGGTAACTCTTAAAAATTAATGGTCATTTAAAGAATAAATGATGAAGAATGGGTCATTTTCATGTTTCAACTTTTATTGAAAACATAGGATAAAACAAATTCATACAATATCATTTCATACATTCAGATTTTTACAATTAAAATAATACAAATATTTCACTTGCACACGTGAACTGTGCAATGTAAAGAATAGCTATCACAGGTTAGCTTATATTAATTCCTCTTGAACATGATTTGTACAAGTGATTGAAGGTAGTCTAGCTTTTAGTTAAATAATATTTTTACCAAAGTGCCAAAAAATTTATAAAAACTTTCAGTTTTAAATACTTAGACTTAAAAAAAAAACAGTGTTTGGACATAACATTGAGAATTGCCCTTAGAATGTGTCACAAGTTTCAGTCACACAGAAGAATTCTGTTTTGTAGCCACATATTATGGGAACTTTGAGCACTGAAATGTGAAATTTCACTTGATGGTTTATTGATAAATTAAGGCAGCCCTAGTAGCTTAGCTAGTTCATGAAGATCCATCTTCTGGGCCAGTCTCAGCTTTGGCAGGTTTAGCGTGCATGGAGAGAATGTCTTCTCCCTCTTTGTGAATCTCCTTATGAGCTGCAAGGAGGTATTTCCTCTGATCTCTTCTCACTGTTGATTATAAAAAGAAATATCAAAATAGCATTTAGTATACTATGGAAAATGGAGATGAAATGATCATTCCAAACAATTTTTCCTTATTCCTTAGATAAGATGCTTTCATTATCAAAATTCCAATTGAAAAAAGATACTTCCAAGAATGATGACTCCATACCAGTAATATAGTTCACAAAAAAAATCAGTTTGAAAGTTTGAATGGTACATGGAGACAAAATTATTATGTTAAGTTATGCATGTACTCAAAGTCTCCAACTAAGAATATTTGGCATAGATGTATCACTTGTGTAAACAGGTACAAAACCATACCTTTCTCTCTCATGGTTGTTTTCTGAACTTCAGGTAATAAGAAACAGTGAACAAGATCAGCAACTATTTCTTCTGACTGGAGCTGTGTTCGACTGAAAACAAAATGTATAGTGATGAAGTATGTTTGGTATTCAGAAAATAAATGTTATGATTTTTTTCGTAATGCATTAACAATTTTATAAATCTCATTGTAAATGATTATGCATATATTTAAAATTTTAGGGGGAGGGGAGGGCATGTAAAACTGAGTCTTGCACAAGAAAATTTTTCAGCTACATGTATACCTGTCCTCTATTTCATAGGCCAGATCATTGATCTTTTCGGCCTGTTCCATGACCTCGGCACGAGCCTGCTCATCAGCTGTTTTGTCAATTGATCCCAGAATTATGTCCTCCAAGTAAGTATCCACTGACCTCTGGTGAACCTTGACAACCTAAAACAAAAAAAACGAAAATATCTTCAAATGCTAAATACCATTTCTTTGTAAGGGATTCTTTTTAAGAGGGAGTTTATCTACCTCTACTATTTTATAATGAACATGTATAAATAATTTCAAAACAAATGACTTTCTTCAAAGATGAGGGAGAAGGGTTTAAATATTTATAAAAGTATTTTTACTGGTAAGTTGACATCACAATTTAACAAAATTTTGTATTTCTAATGGAGGAAATGGACAGTGGAGTACTGTACAGCGGGAAATTAACTCGCGGAGTTAATTTTCGCTACATTCGCGGAAAAAGAAATTCCGCGAATTCAACATACAGTGAATAATTCTTAAAACGTTTTATAAAGATAAATTGAAATTTTATTATTTTCTGTGATTAGATGTAGACTGTCTTTATAATTATGCAAGTGTCTGGATCAATTACAAACACGTAGTTGTTGCTGTTTTAAAAGCTTAATAATTGTTTAATTCATTTCTATAGCTTACGATTAATTTTGCCATCTAGTAGAAGTGCGATGTAATTATTTAATAAAACATGTTTGTTTAATTTCACCCGTGCGTATCACTCAGTCATTACCTATAATCAAGGCATTTACTTAGTAAACAGGGTAACGACAATTAATTAATTTCAATTATATGATTAAAAGTTCAACATTTTTACTACGGTATAATTTTTTTTCTGATTTGGACCCGGAAATAAACAAAAAATAAATGCGTAGCATAATTTTGACTTCAAATCGGGATCATTCCGGTGTTTCGTTATTATTCAATCGGGATCAAAATCGACACAATATACAGACTTTACTTTTCTGTCTGATATGCGCGATATACAGCTCATATACATTACAGACTTTCGTAATATTCTATAGAGACGGGAAATAACACTTCACACAATATATACCTACAGAAAAATGCTTGCAAGTACTGTTTAAGAAATTTTTGGTTTTTCCTTTTCCGCGAATTCAAACGACTGCGATTTGCTGAAAATTGAACAAATCGCGATCTTTTCCGACCGCGATTTTAACCTGCTATACAGTATCATATCTAAATGAACTTCTAAAACACTGAATTTCTTTGTCAGA